CCCCTCTGCTCCTGCCCCTATGGGGCCCCTATGGGGCTGCCTGAACCCCCCGAGCCAGCCCCAAATTCCTCCTGTGCCTCGGCCTGACCCTATGGAGCCCCTATAGAACCACCTGACCCTATAGAACCACCTGTGTCCCCCATCCCACCCTATAGAATCCCTATAGAGCCCCTATAGAACCACCTGCGCCCCCCATCCCACCCTATAGAATCCCTATAGAACCACCTGTGTCCCCCATCCCACCCTATGGAACCACCTGACCCTATAAAACCATCTGTGTCCCCCATCCCACCCTATAGAATCCCTATAGAGTCTCTATAGAACCACCTGTGCCCCCATCCCACCCTATAGAACCACCTGTACCTGTCACCCCGACCCTATAGAGCCCCTATAGAATCTCCTGGCCCCACAGAACCACCTGCGCCCCCCGTCCCACCCTATAGAGCCCCTATGGAACCACCTGACTCCATAGAACCACCTGTGCCCCAGGTCTGACCCTATAGAACCACCTGTGCACCCCATCCCACCCTATAGAGCCCCTAGAGATCCCCCTGCCCTATAGAACCACCTGTACCTGTCAGCCGCACCCTATAGAGCCCCTATAGAACCACCTGCGCCCCTGTCCCACCCTATAGACCCACCTGTGCCTCTGCCCAGCCCCACAGAGACCCCACAGACCCCCCCCCCGACCTCGATCGGATCCTATAGACACCCCACAGACCCACCCATACCTCTGCCCAGCCCTATAGGACCCTATAGATCCTACAGACCCTCCCCTGCCCCATAGAGACCCCAGACCCACCCATACCTCTGCCCAGCCCTATAGAGACCCTATAGATCCTACAGACCCTCCCCTGCCCCATAGACCCCACAGACCCACCTGTACCTCTGCCCAGCCCTATAGGGCCCTATAGATCCTATAGACCCTCCCCTGCCCCATAGAGACCCCAGACCCACCCGTACCTCTGCCCAGCCCTATAGAGACCCTATAGATCCTATAGACCCTCCCCTGCCCCATAGAGACCCCAGACCCACCCGTACCTGTGCCCAGCCCTATAGGGACCCTATAGATCCTATAGACCCTCCCCTGCCCCATAGAGACCCCAGACC